AAAAGAAAAAATATTTTTTGGACACCGTCGTGATAATTGTAATAAAAAAAAAAAAATCAGGCAGGCAGGCAGGTTGGCAGGCAACTTCATGACCGGTCATTTAATAACAAACGTGACATATTCATGCTATTTTTAAATAAGGTATTGTTAGATACATTTTAAAGATTATTAATAATAATAATAATAATGAACGACGTCGACGAATACGACGACTAGGATGAAAATTTAACAAAAAAAAAAAAAAAAAAACACAAACTAAACTAACAAACAACAATAAACTAACAAGTTTATTATTAATGATAATTTTTTTTTGGGGGGGAAGAGGGTAAAAATAATAATATAATTTGTCGTTATTATTATTATTAATTTAATATTGGATGTCACATGACGTATTTAAAACTATAGATTATAAATATACCATTAAAAATTATTATTATTATTTTTTTTTTTGAAAAATTAACTTTCTCTTTTCATACAGTTGCTAATTCCCTTATTTGTGATTTGTTTTTTCATTATTATTATTATTATTATTATTTAATATTATTTCTTTTGCTCTAACAATAATTAATTTTTTTTTTGCTTTTTGCTTTCTTTTCAGTTTTTTTTTTTTTTTTTAATAACAGTAATAGGAAAAAAAAAAAATTTAATTTTTTTTTTATTTAATCATAAAGTAACCGTGAAAAGCTTATATGAAAAAAAAATACAATTATTAGTCACACATTATTAAAAAAACTTGTTTTTATTTTTTTCTTCCTTAAAATTTAATTTTTTTTGGGGGGCGCGAGGGGAATTATTGAGTTTTTTTTTTTTTTTTTTTTTGATAAAAAAAAAATAAATTTTGATTATTTACGGAATCGATAAATAATCTATTTTCTTTCTTTCTATTTTTAATCATTACTTTTTCCGTAATTCGATACATTTTCTTTTATATATCTCTCTCTCTCTCACTCTCTTTCTCTCTGATAACAACAAACACACGTGATAACAACATAAACAAACAACAAACTTTTTTTTTTGTAAATTAATCATTCGAAATACCGAAACCAAAAACAAAACGATTTTTTTTTTTTTTTTGA